GCAGGTGTTTTGTTGTGTGAAGAGCAGAAAGTGTTTGGGACAGAAGTGAACATGAGAGTTAAACCAGGAGAAAGCGTCACTCTCTACTGTGACTGTGCTCTACCGTTTGGATCTCACATTGTCTGGATGAGAAACTGCTCGCATGAGAATCAGCCATCTCTGTTCATTGATCCTCCAAAACTCTTCCTGGAGACGTTTCCACGGTTCAGTTTCCTGCTCAACAGCTCCAGTAACTCCTATGATCTGCATATAGAGAATGTCAGTGTCTCTGATGAGGGGCTTTACTACTGTGCGGAAAGGAAAAAGACATTTATAGATGAAGACGGCGTCAATTCAAAATATGTGTATGAATATGGGAACAAAACAACTCGACTAGCTGTCCTGGGTGAGGAGAAATTCCTGCTGTGGCTCATCTAAAGCTTTGATGCATGTTGGTAAATTCAGTGTGATTAAGAATTTCTCAGTGAGTCTGAAATCTAAATCTAATATAAATAATCATAAAGTAGGGGTAATTCAGCATTTCTAATTCTAATAATTCTGATCTGTTATCACTCACTCTCTCTAAAATTCTCCAATCCTGTTTTGTCTTTAAGTTCAAGATAGAAATGCATAACAGAATCAGATAGTTTGATAAAAGATGGTAACCTGAGTGGTTTCTGGTTTCCACTGACTGACTATGGAAATTAATGGGAGTCCTGAAATGTTTGTTTAAAATGTTATTTTGTGTTCAACTCATGGTTTGAGCAAATGGAAAGTGAAAAATTAAACACAGAATTTAGGTTAATTCCTTCAACAACTGATTAATGCCATTAAATGATCTAAACATTATAATTAAAATAGAAGTTGTTCTTATATAATGTCTGTAAATAATATATAAGACGATGTCCTCTAAAGTTAAATGTTATGGACGCTTCAGAAACTCTTCATTTGTTTGTTCAGTCTTGTGTGTTTAATTTATCATTAGTTTCTGCACATGAGTCCACCATCGCCTCCACTTCTCCTCCAGTGTCAGAGTGTGTGTTCTGCTGGACGCTGCTGTTGAGTGTGTGTCCGGTGTGTGTTCTCCTCTCCTCACTCCTGTCCTCCATCTGTGTTTACTGCTTCTGTCGTCCTCAAACTACAGGTAGAGCTCATCGACACATTTACATTCATTTTGAACAAATCTGTGAATCTGTAGAGCTTTTTTAAAGATTTGTTCTTTTAGATTTTAACATTTTGACTCTAATCGTAATTATTAGACTTTTCCACATGAGAAAATACAGTAATTTATAGTAAATACTGGAGTGTTTTTGACCCATTCTACAGTAAATTGTATTATACTGTACTGTATATTATAGTATTTACTAAACTGTTAATGACTGATGTTAAATGTTAACTGATGAACATGAGACACATACTGTAGTATACTTTGGTTTTTACTGCAGTAAACTGCTGTGTTATTTAGTAGTTTGTTTACATTACTATAGTTGTTGCATTACCACAGAAACTATAGAATTACCACAACAGATTAATTCAAGTCCTTTACTATAGTGTACTTCAAAAACACTACAGTATTTACTATAAATTACTACAGTATATTAACCGGGTTCATTTTGTGTGTGTTTTAGGTTCTGACATGAGTGCTGAGATTCTTAAAGCAAATGTTTTGATGGTAACTATTTTATACTCTTTTATTGACCATATCAAAGATGAATTGTTGACTGATGTGGTTTTTCACTAGTTTATTTGATCCATTCTCTTCTTGTCAATCATTTCAGGCAGATTGTGTGGAGAAACATCAGTGTGAGGCGAGTAAGACTGGAAAGATCTGCGTCCACACTGAAGTCTCTTATAGACGACTGTCATCTAAACATCCCTACACCAACATCTGACACATGAACTGCTCTTAGTCTACTTTCTGTCTTATTTCTGATAGAGTTTGAGTGGACATGCTTTTATTTACAGCACATTATCTATTACAATCAAATGTTTTTTTTTAAATGAATAGTGTGATCCACAGATTATTTAGGGTTTAACATTTCATTTTTGACTAAATTAATGTGTCCAAAGATTATTAAGAAAAGCAGATTATTAATAACAGCACAAGGCTGTGTATGTTTGTATCTGCAGATCATCTGCATATCTCAAAATAAATTAGTAGTGTAAATGTTCACTCATGATGAATGATCACTTTTATTTCAAATATTAACACAAAATATTTAATAGTTATTGTAGTGTTCTCGTGCAGTGTGTTGTGACTGACTAAACACCGAGTTAAACCATAGCCAATGAAGACAGAGTCGTAGCAAGTTTGATCATTTACTGTCACTCTTCTTATTAGCATTTATGGTGAAAACTGCAACAAAATAACAAAACAATTCTCAGAAATTGAGTTTTGACAGGTATTTCCACTCACATATACATAACATAAACAGACTACAGTTCTCCCTGCAGTAGGAATTACACTAGCAAACAAAGTTATTAAACGTTGTATTTTTTACAAAATAATCACTAATATAAAGTCTTTAACATGTCTAATGTGCAAAACATAAACTTACGGCATTGCCTCTATGATGAGTTTAAGCGGATGGCTTAGATTGTCCGAGAGAGCGCATGTCTGACATGGCTTCCACAATGAGCCAGGAACACTAACAGGAAGTGACTACACAGGAAGTATGATATAATGCAAAATAAAGGTATTCCTTTTTACACACGAAGTAGATTAATTAAATAAATTATGAATTTCACATTTTAACAAAGGAAATATGCATATAAAATATTTAAAGAAAATATTTTAAAGTGAAACTTCTTAAAGGGCAACACAGTTATCAGCGTCTGTGAACATGAATAAAGCTTAAAGAGGGAGTCATGAACAAACAATGGCTCCATCTAGTGGCTAATAGCTGAAGGGACTTGTCCAACTGCGTTGTCTTGACTCTTGACCATCCAGATTATATGATGAAGATAGTTTTTGATTGTTTCTGTATTATAAATAAAAAGTCTGACCACTTTAACAATTATATTCTTTTTTTATTCAACAAAAACAAAACAAAATCAACAATAAACTATAAATATGATGTGTTCAGATTTAAGTAAGATTGGATTAAGACTTTACTTCATTCATAAACTGATGGGATTGTGCTCATAATAACAAATAATAAAATTTACTGTAAACACAAACATTTTCAAGCTCAAACTGGTACACAAAGTTCTGCTGTTGTTTATGATGTAAACGGCATAAAACTATGACAAATCAAATTTATAGTGTGTAAAATATACAGATGAGCAGTACTAAATACAATATTAGCTTAATAGTTCACCCAGGCTACTTGATCATAAATGATAAAAAAAGAGCAAGCATTAATGTTGTCAAGATTCGTGCTTTAGAAATCCTGTTTCCATCTGTCCTATACAGTAGGAAAGTACAGTATGTGATTCTGAACTCAGCCATCATTACAGTAGACTGATGTAGAAATGTACTGTAGTCATTTAGTGCAAGAGTTATTCTGTTAAATGCCACAGGATGTGAGAAGCGCTTTTCATGTGTGACTGAAGTGCTAGTTATGGTGATGGAGAGAGTCCAGCCTGCTCTTTGTTTTTCTAGGGTACGACCCAAACCACAAATGTTTCCAGTGGCCTTTGTCACTGTCCTCTTGTAAATGCTTACGTCTCTGTATTTATGAGTTTTGATCAAGTTAAAAAAAAATATTTGACATTTTCATTTTCAGATTATGAGTTTACAATTTAGTAAATTTCACATTTCATGTCAAATTCACACTGATCAAATACACACTGTAACTCTGATACACATTATTCATTTAACAGTAAAGTGTCTGTAGATTATCACCAGGCCCACCATACTAGCACAAACACTTCATCAATCAATTAATCAATCAATCAAATTAAACTGATATAATAAAACTAACCATGATTGCTCTTGTTTCACCATGGGATTTTAAGACAAGCTGAGACAGGAAACCACAGCCTCGTGATTGTGTCAGTGCACTAGTTGTGACTTGAGCTTGTATAGAGTACACAAATGGAATGGAAAGCTTTGCGGTCACAGACAAAAGCAAAAATAAGTTTCTAGCAACTTTTAAAGACCAAGAGCAAAAGAAACCTTGAGTAAAGACATTCATTCTGGAGGTTTAGAAGCCAAAGAAAACAATCAGCATGTAGATGAACGATGCCAAACAAGAAACTCATAAAGACGCTCAAAACTTCAGGTCATCTCCATTACAACATTAAACATCACATCGTCCAAAACAAAAGTCCCAACAATTTATGAAACTGAGTTCACTCTTACATTTTATAATTAAACTTGAACATCTAAAAGAGCTTTAAAAGTGTGTTTAAAGGAACAGATGAGAGGAAACAGACCAGATTATACCCCTAAAAACAAAACAACAGCATAAAGATTCAGAGCTCTTCCACAGAGATCCCTCCCACCACAATGAAGCGGACCCTTCACACTGCAGCTGAAGACCCTCACATTCACAGTCTCAGATGGAGTGAGCGAGATTTACAGTCATCATACTTCTGTGTGAGTCAATATTTCTGTGTTTGAATGTCATGATGTATTCTTGATGATGTGCTAGAGATTTAACACACACTCTTGCGTTTGTTCTGCAGGTGTTTGGTTGTGTGAAGAGCAGAAAGTGTTTGGGACAGAAGTGGACATGAGAGTTAAACCAGGAGAAAGCGTCACTCTCTACTGCGCTTTACCTTTTGGATCAGACATTATTTGGATGAGAAACTGCTCACATGAGAATCAGCCATCTCTGTCAATAGATCGCTCAACACTCTTCAAGGAGACGTTTCCACGCTTCAGTTTTGTGCCCAACAGCTCCAGTAACTCCTATGATCTGCATATAGAGAATGTCAGTGTCTCTGATGAGGGACTTTACTACTGTGGGAAAAGAGAAACAAAAATATATAAAGATGAACGAGGAATCAAACCAAACATTGAGTATGAATATGGAAACAAGACGAGCAGACTGTCTGTCCTGGGTGAGAAAACGATGATTTATAGTGTATTTAATATTAGAATCTTTAACTTCTGATTTTCCAACCACTTTTAGCAAATTCATCCGTGTTAAACTCATATTTTTCATTATTGTGTGTAATCAGTAAAGATAAAATAAAATGAATATAATAACTAAATATATATTCACTTTAATAATGGCCTGTTGTTCATTTTAGAGCAAGAGTCTCCTTGTGCTGAACGGTTTAACAGCACCTCCACATCACCTGCATCAGAGTGTGTTTTCTGCTGGAATCTGCTGTTCAGTGTGTGTTCGGTGTGTGTTCTCCTCTTCTCCATCTGCGTCTACTGCCTCTGTCAGAAGAAAACTACAGGTAATCATTTGATCCTGAACACTTAATCCCTAACTGGAGGGTCTTTCATAAAATTAGAGTATTATATAATAAACCAAATGTAAATTATTCTTATGGTTTGTTAATTTGCTGTAGGTTCTGGGGCTGAGAACAGACATGTTGAGGTATGAGCACATTTTGAGAATAATTTTAATATATATTATTCGCAATAGTTTTGCTGCAACATAAATTACATCAATATAATATAATATAATATAATATAATATAATATAATATAATATAATATAATTTATAATAATTTATAATATAATATAATTTTTTTAAATTTATGTAATTAAATATATTCTGTTTCAGGCTGGTGATGAAGTGTGTTATGCTTCATTAGACATGCCTTCCACACAGCAACAAAGGCAGAGGAATAAAAGAGCTCAGAGTTCAGACTTCAGTATTTATTCTAATGTCAGAACCAGCAGAATGTAAAGTAGAGTAAACTAAAGTCATTGTTCTTTAGTAGAAATATGATTCAAAAGAGTGTTAATGGCAATGTTCTGGCATCTGCATCTGAGTTAAACTGCAGTGTTGATTGTTAATAAGAATGTATAAATGTGTGTGAGGCATGAATGTCTGACACACTGCTTTCTTCGAAATATCTTCTTTTGTGCAAACTCCATGAAGATTTGAAACCGCTTGAGTTTGAGTAAACGGTGAGTAAATCTGGATTTCTGTGTGAACTCTCCCTTTATTTGAGCTCTCTCCAGTCACTCTAGGAAGACACTACACCTGGATTATTTGTCTAAATAATACGTTTATTATTAAAATCCCTATTAACATTAAAGACATCTGAAGCGGTGGCTTAGTGCAGGTAAAGGGGCCCCGGCCCTGGGTGAGTCGGCCATTAGTTAATGCCCACTCCTCATTCTGCAGGTGATCAGGAAGCAGTTCTCTGCACTTCCTGTGTGACTCCTGCTCACCCTACACAAATCATTAAGATCATTAATCCAGACTGACCCTAACAACACAATCAAAGCCATGAGTGCGTCACTCAGATAAGTGTCAAGTCACTGGCCACCTGTTCACTGTAACCAGGGATGGCGCTCAATATCGTCCAAACTGGGCCGATCAGCCGCCGCTGGACTGAGACACCAGCCAATCAGCTGACGGCACTCTGATACACACAACACCGTGTTCAGAAACACAGAGCAACACACTTCTGCTGATCTCTCAGTGAGTCTCTTACCTGTTGACAGAGTTATGGGGAAGGTCAGTTTGCTCCTGGACGTGACCCTCAGTGAGCCTCCGAAGGGGAAACGGTTGCACAGGATGTTGAAGAGGGTCACTCCTACTGACCACACCGTAGCTGGACCCGCATGGTAGCGCTGTCTGCAGAACCACTCAGGTGGAGCGTATTGAATAGTTCCTGAGAGACACAAGGAGACACAAACACCCGTTCAAAACACTCCAGCACACACAAATTCTCTTTGGTGGATCATCAAAAGCTCACAAACATCCACAGAGTGTTTCCTTCTGCAACACAAACCCACCTGCGAAGTATTTGTAGGCCGAGCGCTTGAGCAGATCTCCACAGCCGAAGTCCAGCAGCTTGATGTCCTGGGACTCTGTGGAGATCAGCAGGTTCTCTGGCTTGACGTCCCGGTGCAGGACTCCGCGGCTCTCGCAGTGTTTCAGAGCCGCGATCAGCTGCACCAGCACTTTCTTGGCCAGACCCTCATCCAGACAGTCGTTCTCCTCACAGAAGCTCTGGAGGTCTTGGCAGGGATCCGGACGCTCCAGGATCAGGATGTAGCGTCTGGGACGGTCAAACCAGTCTAGCAGCTGCAGGACGTTGGGGCAGGCAGGAGCTGAATTGACGCGGGTCATCAGTGCCACCTCCAGCGGCAGCCGACCCTGACCTTCCTGCAGGACAAACGATTGGATTCAGAACCCAATGAAACATCAAACACAACAACAGGTTCACACTGAACTCACAACTCTCAGTCTCCTCTGTGTCCGCTCTTTAGACACATACTTGATGGCGACCTGTAGACAGATAAAGCATAATAAATCACACCTGCCTGATCCTCACACATCACATTTACTGAGATCAGGATTTCTAAAGGCTGTTTGAATGAAGAGCGGAGAAAACGACTTACTGGCAGTCCATCAGACCTGCGCATCCCAGCAAACACAGAGCCAAATCCACCGTCTCCCAGCAGTGGGCCCTTTGCATACGCGTCTGCAACACAGAGGAGCAGTAGAAATGTGTGTTCAAAGAAAACATGCAGCAGTAGAGAAAACTGTAAAAGAGCATTACTGAAACATCATCATCACTTCTTCAATAAGCCATTCTGACCTCTGCGAGAGCGTTTGAGAGCTCTTCTAGATGAGGTGGACGGACGTTCATCTTCTGGTGTTTGCTGGCTGCCGCTCTGCCGCTTCCTCTTCCTGTTACTCTGATCTGTGGACACAGATTTGGCCAACAGGGAAGGCAGAGGTGCGAGAAATCCATCAAGCCTTTGGCTCACGGTCTGGGTTTCATCATCACCATCATGTGTCCTGACGTCCTGAACAGCTGCCTGGATGAAAGCAGAACTCCTGGATCTGGAGCGGCCTGAGACAACGACAACAACAACAACATATCACGTTTATCATAAGATTATAAGAATTAATCAACAATTAACTTTAGTAGCTGCATCTACAGAGAATAAAAGACATCTGATCACTTATATCGGGGAACAGTTGTGTTGAAATGGGTTCATTTGTACCAGTTTATTTACATCACATTTCCCCAAACATTACACAACATCATATCATGATTGATCATAAACAAATAAAAACTAAAACACTCACTGCGGTTTTCACCCATCTGACAAACTCCTCCAAACTCCAGCAAACCTGAAAACAAGAACAAAGATCAAATATCAATAAAAATGTCAATAAAAACAATAAAAACAAGATCAAAATCAAAATAAACACAACAAAAGAGCAACAAAACGTGTCAAAAGGAATAATTTCAGCTCTGAGCGTCGATCTCCTTGTAAAATAAAAGTCTTCTGTCAGAAATTCTCTGGTCTCCTTGAAGAATCGCAGTATCAGCACAGTAATCCTCAGCAAATGCCTCAGAAATTCGCCTCTCCTCAATCAACAGATAGCGGCGAGTCTCGGTGTTTAAATATGGAGTCAAATCATAACACGCGTTGCTATAGCAACCACAATTTGATTAGCTAATCTGAATCACGTGAGTAAAAAATGCTAAATCTCGTCTCAACAAATAAATAATATTAAACAGGTAACAATACTACTATTAATAATATAACAACAATAATAGTACATTTAAATAAATTAATAATTCACGAAACTGTAATTGGTGAGAAAGACAAATGAGCAGAATTCATTAGACAAAATTTGACTATACAACTATTTGGGAATTAATTATATTACAGTAATACAATTATAAAATTAACTCAGATATTTTCTATTAGTGGCTCAAGCTGTAAATGCAACTCTTAATTGAAATGTTAATTATTTGTACAGTGTTAACTGCTCAGATAGATATTACGATTATAAGTATAAGTTCAAAATGGTTTATTATTGTAAATAATATTAAGTAAATTATATCAATGACCATTTCTCAGTCTATGCAAAATTTTAATCACATGACCGTACGTATGTATCATGTGGTACATGATACAGTCATATTTTATGTAACGTTACTCCATTCGCTCTTGTTTTCATAATATTAATAGTATTATTGTTAAATTATTATTAATGTTTTCGATATTTTGGATAATTGTGAAGTTTTTCTAAGGGTCTTTGTGTACGCTCAACGGCGCCGAATGAGTTCCCGCGTCTGACCACAAGATGGCGTCCACTGCAGAAAAGTGCAAGTTTCTAAATACATTATTTATCGTTTGTGTGACTCTAAATAGCTGTTTTCATTACCAATATACAGCTTTCAATATGTAAATTACTATCACAAGGTCTGTCAAAAAACAAAAACAAAAAAAACTGAACAGCACCCCTAAATAATTAGCATAAATACATTTACAAAAGTGTTCCTAACCTAGTTTTGTTCGTTTCTGTTAAAAAGGAATAAATAACGGATTATTTTTAGAAAAACATCTCTCGTTTATTACATTTGATGGTCTGATATGAATTTGCGATTGTGAACTTCCATTAAGGGTGCTTAGTGTGCATCGAAGCAGCCTGATTTTACACACTAGTTTACAGAAATATCAGAGGTAAATAATCAATATGATTAATGTATTATATTATTATACAATTATTTTTAATCTTAAGTTATGTCTGGGTCCTAAACGAGTCCGCTTGCAGCCAACATCAGCTTTCAGGCTCAGTGCTGTGTTTCTTCTTCTTCTTCTTGGTCTTTACTGACGCTCCTGGTGCAGTGATGTTGCAGTTGCTGTGAAAAGCTAGGCGAGAACACAAACCACAAGTGTTTTTATTCAGGCATGCAACAGACTGAATGTCCTAAAACTGTTTGTGGTCAAGCTGGTGATCTTGCATGCTCAATACACACATCAATGCATGAGATAAACTGTGGTTAGACAAAAACAGAAATAATAAAAGTAAGAACATATTTAGTGCTCGCTGCAGCTGTAAATGTTGCTTTTATTATTTTCATGACTTGGAATTGTTGAGAAACTGAAGATGCAAAAGTCTGATTTATTAAAATATGTACCATGAATCATGAACAGAATTAACAGCACACAACTGTGGTTTGATTTACTTAAAGAAGAGCAGAGCATTGCAACAAATAAGTGTGCAGCATTCAACATTTAAACCAAATTGTAATAATCATTCAAGCGCTATAATTACTTTTGCAAACAAAACATCATTTTATAAAGCAAATCCATCTGTTTGTGTTTTCTATTGTTTCAATTTCTACATTAGACTTTCTTTAGTTGTTGAGAAATGACAGTATCCTGTTCACTGATCAGACACTTATAATGAATTTAATGTGAGAAGAGAGTTTAGTGTGGAGTAAATTCAGCACAATGGACAGCTCCCTGCAGTGCTGAACTGACTGAACCACATCTGCAGGAGGAAATGCTACAGAGATGTTTAATTACTGCTGAATAATTACTGAACAATATTGAATATTAAAAATCTAACCCATCAGTAGTGATTACTAATTAAACATTTATTTTATATATAAATTAAGATAAAAGGCGATTACATAAAAAACCTGTTGGGCTTATTCGCTCTAAGACATGCTTTGATAATCATATTTCTTTTAAAGTAATACGGTTTTGTCAATGTTAATAAAAGGAAACACTGAGTTTGTATAATCATTTCTTTTTGTAATTGAACACTCACTTTACAGCTCTTCATCTCTCAGAAAACTCCCTCATTAAACCAATAGTTGCCCTCGCACACATTTGTCACGTTCAAAGAATAAGAGTCAAAGAAGATCCAGGTGCGAGTGATTAAAGTTTATTTGACCAAGTCAAAATAAACAAACAATGAAAGTGACAGGCTCGGAGGACGACGAACCGGTGTGGGCGGGTTAATTTCCGTATGAAAAAAGGCCTTTAATTTGGAAACATGAATGGGCCAATAAATTTAGGTGCAAGTTTATTACATACGGAATGCAAGGGAATATTCTTAGTTGAAAGCCACACTTTTTGACCGACGACGTAAACGGGAGGCTTCGACCGTTGGCGATCGGCTTTAGCCTTAGTGCGCGCACCCACTTGGAGGAGGGTCTGTCTGGCCCTGCTCCAAGTGCGTCGACACCTCTGGACAAAGGCGTGGGCGGAGGGGACCGCGATTTCGGATTCCAGACTGGGAAAAGCTGGTGGCTGGTAACCTAGACTACACTGAGGCCCGTAGTCGACACTGGTAATGAATTGTGTGCGTACTCCACCCATGGGAGCTGCTGACTCCAAGAGGAGGGATTCTGGGAAACCAAACAACATAACATGCGTTCGAGATCTTGGTTGGCCCTCTCTGTTTATCC